GGGTTGAGGGGGGTTGATTTTGTGATTTGGGAGTTGTAGTTGCTGGGATTTATAGTTCACCTGCAATCAGAGCATTCTGAATTCCACCAGTGGTGAAACCGAACCAAACTTGGCACACAGAACTCCCATGACCAACAGAAAATACTGGAAGGGTTTGGTGGGCATCGACCTTGAGTTTTGGAGTTGTAGTTCACCTACATCCAGAAAGCACTGTGGACTCAAATAATTATGGATCCGGACCAAACTTGGCACGAATACTCAATATGCTCAAATGTGAACACTGTTGGAGTTTTGGGAAAATAGACCTTGACATTTGGGAATTGTAATTGTTGGGATTTATAGTTCACCTACAATCAAAGAGCATTCTGAATCCCACCAATGATAGAATTGGGACAAAGTTCCCACACAGAACCCCCATGACCAACAGAAAATGATGGTCTTTGGTGACCCCTCTGACACCCCACTCGTGACCCCTCATGTTGAGAAACGCTGATCTAGAGATTTGTTGTCGTTTATTTGTTCAGTCGCTTTGGACTCTTCGTGACCTCCTGGACCAGACCACACCAAAGCTCCCTGTTGGCCGTGGCCACCCCCAGCTCCTTCAAGGTCAAGCCAGTCACTTCAAGGATACGATCCATCCATCTTGCCCTTGGTAGTTCCCTCTTCCTTTTTCCATCCATTTCCCCCAGCATCATTGTCTTCTCTAAGCTTTCCTGTCTTCTCATGACGTGGCCAAAGTACTTCATCTTGGCCTCTACTATCCTTCCCTCCAATGAGCAGTCGGGCTTTATTTCCTGAAGTATGGACTGGTTGGATCTCCTTGTGGTCCAAGGCACTCTCATAACTTTCCTCCAACACCACAGTTCAAAAGTGTCTCTCTTCCTTCGCTCAGCCTTCCTTATGGTCCAGCTTTCACATCCATAGGTTACAAGGGGAATACCATTGCTTTAACTATGCATATCTTTGTGGCCAGTGTTATGTCTCTACTCTTCACTGTTTTATCCAGATTGGTCATTGTACCTATGGCTACCTCCTAAGCAGCCTTTTTGTATTTTTTTTCCCTTGCAGAGCTCTACACTGTGCTCCAAAAGTCGCCATCAGGAAAAATGGGAACTTGTAGCTAAATGTACTCTAACAACCACTCTAACAACCCCCATGTCAGACTACACAGAGAAGCCATTGAAATACACAAGCACATGGACAATTTCAACAGAAAAGGGGAAAACCATGAAAAAGAACAAAATCTGACTACCAGTATTTAAAAACTATAAAATCGGGACAGTAAATAAAGAGCAACTCGCAAAAAGCTGGGGAATTCAGACAGGAAACAATCATGGTCAGCTAACATCTCCCAACAAACGATTCCGCCAGGTAGGAAGCAGCCGGGCTTTGAAGCTGCAAAGCCATTCAGTGCTTATCAAAGTGGTCAATTGCAACATTAACACTTGCCTCAAACAGAAAGAGTTATTTCTCTCACCCTGTACATTCCACAGATATATAAACCCCACTTGCCTAGTTTCCAACAGACCCCACAGCCTCTGAGGATGCCTGTCATAGATGTGGGTGAAATGTCAGGAGAGAATGCTTCTGGAACATGGCCATACAGCCTAGAAAACTCACAGCAACCCTGTGATTCTAGCCATGGAAGCCTTTGACAACACACGAAACTTTTATTGACAAAATATTTATTAAGCTCTTCTTTTGAGGATGAAATATTTATAAATATAAAACATTAAAATATAACATAACATTATGTGAATGTTTTAATTTTTCCTATGTATGGAGACTTTTGGGATACCCTGTATATTAGTCATTGGGAAACTGTATATACAACAGTACAGAGAATTTGGTTCTGACCAAATCTAGAATCTGAATTATCTGCGGATTCACAGCCACCCGCTCAACCCAACACGCATGTGCAGATCACTGGAACAAGTGTCTCTTTCTAGGTATCACCATGCAATATGGTTTACACCAGGCATGTGCAAACTTTGATCCTCTGGGTGTTTTGGACTCCAACTCCCATAATTCCTAACAGCCTTTTGGCTCTTAGGAATTGTGGGAACTGAAGTCCAAAATGCCTTTTGGAAGTGTGACCCTTTTGGAGATTAATTGGCAGTCACACTATTTGGAATAATCATAAACTTTTGTAAAGTATTATCTTCCTGAAAAGAGCCAAAACTCATTTGAGTATTCCAGTTTGGGTGTATTGGGAATTTGTGCCAAATTTGGTCCAGTTAATGAAAATAATTTATTTGTTATTATTTATTTCAAACATTTGTACTCCGCCCTTCTCAACTTCCCCGGGGGGGGGGGGGGACCTCAGGGCGGCTTACTCCTGGCACAATTCGATGGCATTACATATAAAAAACACATACCGTAATATATATAAAAATCCAGTAAATTGATTTCAAAATTAGTTTTAAAACAAAAAGTGCATTAATGAAAAGTGCAATAGTACTGGCTATCTAGCCTTATGTAGAAATGAATTCAGCGAGCACAACACAATCGGAAGCCTGTCCATAGTCCATTTTCCATAACATTATCATTATTACCATTGTCAATTATCTGCCAGCTACCCAAAGGCCTGGTCCCATAACCAAGTTTTCAATTTCCTCCTGAAGGCGAGGAGGGATGTTGTTGACCTGATTTTGCTGGGGAGCGAGTTCCACAGGCGGGGGGGGGGGGGGGGGGGGGGGGGGGGACACCACTGAGAAGGACCTGTCCCTTGTCCCCACCAAAAGTGTTTGCGCCAAAGGCAGGGCCGAGAGCAGAGCCTCCCCAGAAGATCTTAAATTTTAAAGTGGAACGTAGAGGGAGATACGTTCAGACAGGCAGAGGCGGCCCTAGGTAATTTTCAACGTTAACCAAACAGTATTTTGGCACCTCCCCCAACCAATCACTGATATATATTTTCTATTCGTCGTAGGAGTTCTGTGTGTCATATTTGGTTCAATTCCATCATTGGTGGAGTTCAGAATGCTCTTTGATTGTAGGTGAACTATACATCCCAGTAACTACAACTTGCATATGTCAAGGTCTATTTTCCCCCAAGAGCACCTCAAGAGCGCCCCTGGGCAAAATCAACTATACTGCAAATGCTTACTTTATATAATGGGTTGAGCCACCCCTGCGGACAGGTAAGCTGGGCCGGAGCAGTATAGGGCTTGGTCAAAACCAACACTTTGAATTGTGCTCGGAATTGGACCGGCAGCCAGTGGATCTGACATAGCAGAGGGTGGTATGCTCTCTGTATGACGCTCCAGTGAGTCGTCTAGCTTCTGCTCATTGGACTAGTTGAAGCAGAGGTCCTCAAACTTTTTAAACAGAGGGCCAGGTCACAGTCCCTCAAATTGTTGGAGGGCCGTATTATAATTTGAAAAAAAAAACATGAATGAATTCCTATGCACATTGCACATATCTTATTTGTAGTGCAAAAAACACTTTAAAACAATACAATAATTAAAATGAAGAAGAATTTTAACTAATATAAACATATTAGTATTTCAATGGGAAGTGTGGGCCTGCTTTTGGCTGATGAGATAGAATTGTTGTAGTTGTTGTGTGCTTTCAAGTCGTTTCAGACTTAGGTTGACCCTGAGTACGGGCCGGGTAAATGACCTTGGAGAGCTGCATCTGGCCCCTGGGCCTTAGTTTGAGGACCCCTGAGTTGAAGTTTCCGAGCAGTCTTCAAAGGAAGCCCAATGTTGAGTGCGTTGCAGTAATGTATTTGGGATGTAGCCAAAGCGTGGACCACTGTGGCCAGATCAGGCTTCCCAAGGTAGGGGCGCAGCTGCATATCAAATATTTACATTATGATTAATAACAGAAGCAAAATTAGAATTATGAAGCAGCAAGGAAAATAATCTTATGGTTGGGGGTCCTCACAATAGAATCATAGAATCAAAGAGTTGGAAGAGACCTCATGGGCCATCCAGTCCAACCCCTTTCTGCCAAGAAGCAGGAATATTGCATTCAGATCACCCCTGACAGATGGCCATTCAGCCTCTGTTTTAAAGCTTCCAAGGAAGGAGCCTCCACCACACTCCGGGGCAGAGAGTTCCACTGCTGAACGGCTCTCACAGTCAGGAAGTTCTTGTAGTTTGAAGCCATTGTTTTATGTCCTAGTCTCCAGGGAAGCAGAAAACAAGTTAGCTCCCTCCTCCCTGTGGCTTCCTCTCACATATTTATACATGGCTATCATATCTCCATGGCCACATCATGAGGAGACAGCAAGGCCTAGAGAAGACAATTATGCTGGGGAAAGTGGAAGGCAAAAGGAAGAGGGACCGACCAAGGGCAAGATGGATGGATGGCATCCTTGAAGTGACTGGACTGACCTTGAAGGAGCTGGGGGTGGTGACGGCTGACAGGGAGCTCTGGTGTGGACTGGTCCATGAGGTCACGAAGAGTCGGAGACGACTGAATGAATGAACAACAACATCATATCTCCTCTCAGCCTTCTCTTCTGATGGCTAAACATGCCCAGCTCCTTAAGCCGCTCCTCATAGGGCTTGTTCTCCAGACCCTTGATCATTTGAGTCGCCCTCCTCTGGACACATTCCAGCTTGTCAATATCTCTCTTGAATTGTGGTGCCCAGAACTGGACACAATATTCCAGGTGTGGTCTAACCAAAGCAGAATAGAGGGGTACATGGGGGACTGTATGAAGAGGTGGTGGCATTGGGAAGATTGAGAGCCACTGTTCTAGCTAGCCTATTTTTTCCTTCTTTCTCCCTGCTGGGCTTTCTCCTTCCTCCTCTTCTCCAGGACTTGCTTTGCGACCATCCAGCGGAGGGCAGCAAGCAGAGAGAAAGAGAGAGAGAAGGAGGGAGAAGGAAGAAAGGAAGAAGGGAAGGAAGGAAGAGGCCAGCCTTGGGCCCCCACCTCTCTCTCTCTCCCACCAGGGCGCCAAAGGGGAGGCCTGCTTGGAAAGAGAAGGAAAGAGGAGGGAGGGAAGGAAGCAGGGAAGGAGGGAGGGCTGGGAAGAGGGGAAAGCGAGCCTCCTCTCCTCCTTTTCCCTCCTCCTCCTCCTGTGCTTCCCTCCCCCTCTCCACCAGCTCCTCCCCCAGCCCTTGTGCGGGACTCCATTTTCCCAGCCCCAAAGTCTCCAAGGAAAGGGGCCCTGGGAGCGCGCATCCAAGATGGAATAACCAGCCTTTTCTCTTATTTTTTTTCCTGCTCACCCACTCCTCCTTTTTTTCTTGACTTGGGGGAGAAAGAGGAGCAAGCAGCCCCCAGACCGACGCCTTTGTGTGTGCGTGTGCGTGTGTGTGTGGTTGTGCGTCTTGCGGGGAGACTTGTTTTGTGCGCGCCCTCCTCCTCCTCCTCCTCCTCCTCCTCTTCCTCCTCGGCGCGCCTTGTGTGCTTTGGGTGGTCCTTGTCGGCGGCGAGGATGGACGAGCAAGGGCGGCTGATCCAGGCCCGGGGCCCCGTGGGTCTGCCGGGCCACCCCTCGGTGCCGGGGGTCCAGGCCATGGCCCCGCACGCCCTCCACGAGCCCCCCTCGGACAACGGAGAGCCCCGCAAGCAGGACATCGGAGACATCCTCCAGCAGATCATGACCATCACGGACCAAAGCTTGGACGAAGCCCAGGCAAAGTTGGTTACCCCCTCCTGGCCTTTTGGGGGAAGGGCGCCGAGTTGGGGGTGAGGGTTGGGAATGGGACCCTTTGTGTGGGGGAAAACTCAAGGCAAAAGGGAGGGTTTCCTTGGGGGAAAGTGTGGGGTACTTGGAGTGGCGCCACTCCACACCAAAGTCGCGCTTTCCCCCTTGTTTGGATTTGGAGATCTCCAGGGGCCTTGGAGTATCAGGTTGGGCTCTTAGAGAAGCACTTGGAAACCCAGGATTAGGATCAAGCCCATACCAAAGCCTTGGGGTTTTGTTTTGTTTTGTTTAACTTTTGGAGATTTCCAGGGGCCTTGGGGTATCAGATTGGACTCTTAGAGAAGTACTTGGTAACCCAGGATTGGGATCAAGCCCACACCAAAACCATGTTTTGTTTTGTTTTTGTGCTTGGAGATTGTCAAGGATGAGGGGATGTTTGAGACATGCTTGGAAAGGAAAGATTGGTCTCAACCCCACACTCAAGTCTTGCTTATCTGTTGGGTTTTTTGTACTTGGAGATTACCAAAGGCCTTGGGGTATCAGATGGAGAAGCATTTGGTAAACCAGGATTGGGATCAAGCCCACATTAAAGCCTTGCTTTGTTTTGTTTTTGCACTTGGCGATTTTCAAGGATGTGGGGGTGTTTGAGAAGGGCTTGGAAAGAAAAGATTGGTCTCAACCCCATACTCGAAGTCTTGGTTTTCTGTTAGGTTTTTGCACTTGGAGATTACCAAAGGCCTTGGCATATTATTTTGGGCTCTTGGGGAAGCACTTGGAAGCCCAGGATTGGGATCAAGCCCAGACCAAACCCTTGGGGTTTTGTTTTGTTTCTAGGTTTAGAGATTTCAGGGTCCTTGGGATAACAGATTGAGCTCTTGGAGAAGTGTTTGAAAACCCAGGATTGGGATCAAGCCCACATCAAAGCCTTGTTTTGTTTTTGCACTTGGTGATTTTCAAGGATCTGGGAATGTATAAGAAGTGCTTGGAAAAGAAAGATTGGTCTCAACCCTACACTAAAGTCTTTCTTAGATGTTTGGTTTTTGCACTTGGAGATTACCAAAGACCTTGGGGTATTCTTTTGGGCTCTTGGAGAATCACTGGGAAACCAAAGATTGGGATCAAGCCCACACCAAAGCCATGTTTTGTTTTGTTTTTCGGCTTGGAGATTTTCAAGGATGTGGGGTGCCAGGCTGGGATGTTTGAGAAGGGCTTAGAAAGGAAAGATTGGTCTCAACCCCACACTAAAGTCTTTGGTTTTTGCACTTGAAGATTACCAAAGGCCTTGGGGTGTCGGTTTGGGCTCTTGGAGAAGCACTTGGAAACCCAGGATTAGGATCAAGCCCATACCAAAGCCTTGGGGTTTTGTTTTGTTTTTGTGCTTGGTGATTTTCAGGGATGTGAGAATGTTTGAGATGTGCTTGGAAAGGACATATTGGTCTCAACCTCACACTAAAGTCTTGGTTTTTTGTTGGGTTTTTGCACTTGGAGATTACCAAAGGCCTTTGGGTATCCTTTTGGGCTCTTGGAGAAGCACTTGGAAACCCAGGATTGGGATCAAGCCCACACCAAAGCCATGTTTTGTTTCGTTTTTGCACTTGGCGATTTTCAAGGATGTGAGGATGTTTGAGAAGTGCTTGGAAAGGAAAGATTGGTCTCAACCCCACACTAAAAAGCCTTGCTTATCTGTTAGGCTTTTGCACTTGGAGATTACCAAAGGCCTTGGGGTGTCAGGTTGGGCTCTTGGAAAAGCACTTGAAACCCCAGGTTTGGGATCAAGCCCACACCAAAGCCTTGGAGTTTTTGTTTTGTTTTTCGGCTTGGAGATTTTTAAGGATGTGGGGTGCCAAGCTGGGATGTTTGAGAAGTGCTTGGAAAGCAAAGACTGGTCTCAGCCTCACACTAAAGTCTTGCTACTTTATCACACTTTAAATCAAGTTTCTTCCTTCAGAATTCTGGGGTTTGTATTTTAGTGAGGCTGTTAAGGGCTCCTCCCTAAACTACAAACCCCAGAATTCGGCAGGAGGCAGCAACTGGTTTTTTTTAAAATATAATTTTTTATTGAATGCTTTTCTACAACTACATAAAATAAAGGAGGGGATTGGGAGGGGGAAAAAGGAATGAATTGGGATAGTTCAGGGGAAGGAAAGTTTCCTACGGGCAGCAACAGGATTTATAGTGCATTCAATCTATAGTGTGATGAGGTCTTGCACTTGGAGATTACCAAAGACCTTGGGGTGTTGGATTGGGCTCTTGGAGAAGCACTTAGGCCCCTTCCACACAGCTGGATAAAATCCCACATTATCTGCTCTGAACTGGAATATATGGCAGTGTGGGCTCTGTGATAACCTAGGGGCCCTTCCCCACAGCACTATATCGCAGAATATCAAGGCAGAAAATCCCACAATATCTGCTTTGAACTGGGTTATCTGAATCCACATTCAATGTGAGATTTCCTGCCTTGATATTCTAGGTTATATGGCTGTGTGGAAAGGCCCGGAGAAGCACCTGTAAACCCAGGATTTGGAGCAACCTCATAGCAAAGTCTTGGGTTTTTTTTACACTTGGAGATTTTCAGAGGCCTTGCGAGGCTGCTTGGAGATTTAGGATTGGGATCACACCCACACCAAAGTCTTCGTTTAGGATCTGAATTTTCTTTTGGCCTTGGTTTACGGCACATCCATGTATACTAGGCATGGGGAAACTTGTGCCCTCCAGGTGTTCAGAAAAGTGCCTGAGGCTGTTAGGAATTCTGGGAGTTGGAGTCCAAAACACCTGGAGGGCACAAGTTTGCCCATGCCTGATGCATACCATTAATGTATTGAATGGATTTAGACTTGAAAATGGGAAGCAAAAATTATGATGAGTTGGGGAATGGCAGCAAAGAGATCCAGGGCCCTTCTACACAGCCGTACAACCCAGAATATCAAGGCAGAGCAACCCATAATATCTGCTTTGAACTGGAACATTTGAGTCCACACTGTCAAATATCCCAGTTCAAAGCAGATAATGTGGGATTTTATTCAGTCCTGGGCTAGAATTTGACTCCAAGAAAATGAGATTGACTCAAAACACTCCTAAATCGGGATGTAATAATAATAACAATAACAACAACTACTACTACAACAACTTTATTTATACCCTGCCACCATCTCCCCAAGGCGACTCGGGGCGGCTTACATGAGGCCAAACCCAGCAATACAACAATGCAAATATACAAATAAGAATACAATAATACAATATAAGGAAATAAAATAAATAGAAATACAAAAAAAAAAACCCCAGTATAAATAAAGACCTCAGACAATATAAAATCAGAATATGGGATGTGATCCATAGTGATTAGGAGATCTTAGGCTCCTTCCACACAGCCCTATATCCCAGAATATCAAGGCAGAAAATCCCATATTATCTGAGTGTGGACTCAGATAACCTAGTTCAAAGCAGATATTGTGGGATTTTCTGCTGCCTTGATATTTTGGGATATAGAGCTGTATGGAAGGGCCCTTAAGAGTTAGTTGATGTGGAAACTGCCGATTCCTCCCTTACTTCACAGTTCCTGAGCCTTATGTCTCTAGTTTAAACAGTCAAATAGACTACTGCAACACACTTTACGTGGGGTTGCCTTTGAAGGCTGCCTGGAAGCTTCAACTAGCACTTCTTTTCCAGAGATTTAAGAGTTTGGTTTCTATTTAATCCTTTTTCTGGATTCTCTGTCTAAGCCACAGGTTTACACCTTTAATGTCATTTAAGACGATCCGTTTAATATTGTTATAGGCTTTCTACATTATCAGTACAGTATTGGCAATTAAATTTGGTATTCTGGGTATATAAATACAAACTGGAAGGTGAAGATTGGACACCACTAACTTGGAAACGGGACTTTATGTGAAGCCGGTGGCGCTTTGAGTGCCAAACTTTGAAATAAAAACAAAAGTCCATATGGAGTGAAAAGTCTAACCAGAATTTACAGTTGAGCTCATAAACACGCCGTGCATGAATGTGCAGAGTTCTGAAACAGACGCACACTTTTGTGGTCCTCATTTAGGTGTTGCTGAATCATGAGTTTTGGGAAATATATTGTGTGATTATTACTTCAAAATATAAAATGTATTGATTGATATTTGAGGGATTTTCCCCCCAGATAGATCTGGTTTCAGGGTTCCAAGTTTGCAAGAGCAGGGTTTCAAATTTGTATTTTTGAGGCCGGGTTTTTGTGTGAGACCTGTTGGGTCCTCTCCAAAGGTCTGCTTTCATTCCCATTTAGTGGCTTCCACTTGGGAGTTGTCAATGTGGTTGAGAGAATACAGTAGCGGTGTTGAACTATCGCGGATCTGTGGTTTGCAAGAAAAAGAGTGAGGCATTGTACATTTGGAAAGTTAGGTTCCTCAAGGGTGTATTTTCTGAGACCCGTGTGGCTCTCTATATTAAATTGAATGTGAGGCGAATTATGGGTTGGAGGTTTTGTCTTAAATCACGGCGTGGTAGACTTTGTACCACTGTAAACAGAAAAGAAGGTCTGCATTCTCTGTTTTATTCTGCACCGTCAAAGAGAGAGAATTGATGGTGGAAACTCAGGTTTCTATGGTGAACTAAAAGGAGGTTCCCTTTGTTTGCATTGCTTATTGGGGGGAGGGAGACCAAAAATTAACTACCATATATACTTGAGTATAAGTCAAGTTTTTCATAACTTTTTTAGGGCTGAATGCCCCCACCCCCGGCTTATACTCGAGTCAAAGTTATTTATTAGTTTACTCTATTTATTATTACTATTATTCTACCATTACATTTACATTATTTTGCTCTATTATTATTTTATTACATTTATTATTTTACTCTATGTATTATTATTACATTTATTAATTTACTCTATTTATTACTATCATTACATTTTCATTATTTTACTCTATTACTGTTATTATTACATTTATTATTTTACTCTATTATTACTGTTAATACATTTCCAGTATTTTACTCTATTATTGTTATTACATTTATTATTTTACTCTATTTATTATTACTATAATTGCAGTTTCATTATTTTTCTCTATTATTATTATTACATTTATTATTTTACTCTATTATTACTATCATTGCAGTTTCATTATTTTGCTCTATTATTATTACATTTATTATTTTATTCTATTTATTATTACTATCATTGCAGTTTCATTATTTTGCTCTATTATTATTACATTTATTATTTTACTCTATTATTTTTATTACATTTATTATTTTACTCTATTATTACAGTTGTTATTTTACTCTGTTTATTATTATTAGTTATTTTACTCTGTTTATTATTACTGCCATTACATATACATTATTTTGCTCTATTATTTTTATTACAGTTATTATTTCACTGTTTATTATTACTATCATTGCATTTACATTATCTTGCTCTATTATTATCAC